AATATAATATAAAACTAATATAATATCAATAAAATAATATAAAATAATGTTTAAAAATATCTATAATATTACAGTATTACAAGAAAAGCGAAATCCAAATATGTATGGTTAAGCAAGAGAATCCTTTATTTTGTAATATGATCGCTACCCAAAGAAAGTATTATGCTTGTACAATTGTTCTCAAAAGAAAAAGTCTTTTCTCTAGTACTATTAACCCTCCTTATATAGTCTTTCTATTAGACTCAAATTAGCAGTTATGCAAAAATGTGATTATCGATTTTTAGCTTGAAAAATGTCGTAATCGTTATAAAGCTTAATAGAGTATTTACGAAATTATTACATAATGTTGAAATAATTAACATACTATTTAATTTATTACAACATTTTTTATAACATTACACGTGCATTCGACTTTTCTTATATATAAGAGTTCTCGCTACACTTTGGACAATTACAATTTATCGACAAGCCCGATCTGATCAAGTGTTCCTCATTTTAGAGTTTAGAACTTTTTTATTTTTCATATGTTATCTCAATTTTAATCAGGTTAACATATAAAATTAAAACTGATTCCAAAATCTATACAGAAGATAAATCTCTGTCATTATATTGTTATCATTATACATACGTAACAAATATCTAATCAAGCTAAGTTGGTTGTTGTGTAACACAAAACTAAGATTCGATTAGTAATCATATTGCATATAGCAATTTGTCACTTGCGAAGTTATGATACTAATTGTTATAGTTAACTGCAGTTCTCAATCTATTAAAAGTGTATGCACTTAGAGAAAAACTGAATATAACGAGTGATTAGTAATGAATGTAACGAGTGATTAGTAATAACATTACAGTATAAAGCGATCAGATAAATTTCATTAATAACTGAATTTATTTTTCTTTTATATTAGATCTGATGAGATCTAATATGTAGAAAAATAAATTCAGTTCCAATGGATTATTGCGTTCACGGTCAAGTTATCATTGAAATTAATTAGTTTTTCTCATTTTTCCTTTCTTGCATTCTTTTACTTTGCTTAATTTTTTGAAGTCTTTGAAATGAAAACGAATCAAAAAGAATATCTTTCAGAGCACAGACACGGGATATTGCTACAAATGAGAGGCCGCAAGAATATTCTTTTTTTCCAAGACTGATCCTAGCATTTGTTAGTGTTAGTCCTTGGCTTTTATGTACCGTGACGGCCCAGGCAAGGCTAAGGGGGATTTGTAAACGTGAGTAATTCCCTGTATTTGTATCCCATGATCGTCTGATAGGTGGAATTGGGATAGTCCTTTTACTATCCATGGATATAATCATAGGGCCATTGTAAGCATCGAATTCTACAAAAACTGCAATAGGAAGTGCAGGTGGTCCCTGATTTTCTTCAAATAATATATCATGGATTGTTCCCATTGCTCCATTAACTAACCCAGTCTCCATACACAGGTTCACCCTGAGCATAACACGAGTACCCTTAGCTAACAGAATTTGAGATTCAAGGCCTTTTGCTATATCTGAATCAGCCTTGAATGCCTCATTACCACTAGTGTGAACAGCATGAATCCTAGCAATAGGGCTATTTAATAACTTTAGCATGTTAATATTAATTTCATTAACTTCAACTTTTCTAGATAGAATATATATAGCATTTGAAAATTGATTATTATCCATTGGCGTTACACTTGGTGATCCTTTAAATCATGTACTAAGTGCTTTCCAATCATCAATAGTAGATTTACCATTACGTAAATGCATTAAAATGTTTCTAAAATGACATTGTTCTTTAGAATTTCCTGCTTGACGCAGAACAATATCAAGTCGATAAACCTTCTGAAACTGCCTGTATGCTGTAATACCATCATTTGATAACGGATTATGACTAAGATTTTGCACATACATAGGTAGATCAAGCACTGGTAGGAGTTTGCCGAAATCACCTACTAATATAACCGATCGCCCACCAAACGGTTGATTATGATTCTCAGGAAAGGCTTGATGTAGCCTCATGTCAATTAAAGCCAGCATGCGGCGTCCAACCATACTTTTTTCATCGATTATTATATATCTTACATCATTCAATTTTTTTTGTAGCTGCTTTAAACTTTCACCTTTTATATCGATATTATTGCCATTTATTGGAATAGAAAGTGTCGAATGAATTGTTGTCCCGTGAATATTAAATGCTGCAACTCCAGTTAGTGCAAGAACAATTATAGGAGAGCTTTCAACACCATTTCTAGTTGCTATCTCTTGAAGTAGTTGTCGAATTGCATTAATCAGATATGATTTACCTGTGCCCGCAGTTCCCATGATAATTATTCTTAATGGCTCAATATTACCATCTATAATAATATTATTATAATGTGTTTCAAGCCTTTTAAATATCTTCATTTGATTTTCATTCAAGGTTTGATAATCTATAGTATGGATGTCTGAATTTTCAGCATTAAGCGCTTCTTTACTGTGAACTTGCTATATAAATATATCTACTTCAGCAAGATTAAGATTTGGAAAATGTTGTCTGACAGCTCCGACCCAGTTATAATTTCGATCAGTATTACTTAAACCAAGACCAGAAGAACTGTCAACAATTGTATTCGGGCCCATTTCTGCTAAAATCATCCAATCAGGCTAAATTTCTTCATCTTAATCAGTTTCTAGTTGCTCATTCTTATCCTCATAAACAGATTCTTCCAACTCGTCAACAGATGGGCCAAGTAAATTATTAAGTTCACTTTCAATCTCAACAAGATTTCGATTAAAGAGTTCAGACCATAAAACAGTATTGTTTTCAGTTAACTGTTTAAGGCTTCTATAGTAAACATGAAGTAGGACCTTTATTTGGCAAAACTCTTTCCATTGAGGACCATTTCATTGAGATGATGGTCTTGGCCAAATGCGCACAATGTTTTTACCTTCATATTTCTTTCAACTACTATTAGAATACCTATATCCCTGATAAAGTTGAAATAATGAAAGATTCTCAAGATCAACTGATCTGTTCCAATATCGTTGTAAGGGAGATTGTTCTGTTTGTTCAACTTGGCCTACTGTCACAAAGTTCTCATTACCGGTACCACAAAGCCATTGAAACACTTCCTTATTAAGATTTAAGGTTACAAAGCGATGACTAGAATGGTAAAGTGGAATGCCTAAAAGGAGATGACATGTTTCCTGTGCAGATATGTCATGTTCTGCAACTGTATGAAGCAATAAATGCTGAAAAGCACCAAGAGAAGAATCTGATGGCCTACTTTCATGAAGAATCTTATTTAATAATTCTGAGAAAGTGGCAGAACGTAGTTCTGATTTACTTGCATATTTTGCAACATATTGTAGAGCAGCATGGATATTCAAAATAGGTTTTATGTCAACATTTGCACACTAGCCTTGAAGCTGAAGACAATTATATGGATTGATATAAGGATCATTTCGTGCTGTGAAGAGTTCTGGTTGACCATTGTTGTCATAAATAAAGGTGTGTTCTATATTATCTTTAGGATACCCAAATCGACATTGTTGTTGCCCTTCCTTATTTGTTCAGAGACAATACGAAGAACTACAAATGTATGATGTTGTAATTTGTTAATAAGCTCAATGTAATCCTGTAGGTCATCATTTAATTTTTTAGTGCTTTTTTGGCAAGGATGACATTCAGACATAGGTGCGTTCAGCTCTGGGTTAATCGTAGTAACTAATGAGTTAATGTATTGAACTATTGCATTAATTTTTATTTCATTATTTTTCATCTTTTCCTACTCAAATACAGGCGCATCTTTAATTTTTCCAATACTATGTACGTGAACACTGCCGCGATGCTGCCATTCAAACCTATACCACCAATCTTCCAACTTTAAGTTAGGGATCATGACTTTTTCTAAAAAAACTTTGAATCGCTTTTCAAAAAACCAGGCGGTGATAAGAGGATTATCTATTAAATCTTGATGTCGACATTTACATGCCTCTTGTTCCGACTTCCCATCTACAGAATTTTCACCATGTGGCATAAGGTTATGAAGATCTGGCCAATGTAAGTTGGCAGCACTGAAGGTGAAAAAAATTATTCCATGTGTCTTTAACTGCTTGATCATATCTAACAATTCAAAATGTCGTCTTTTCCAGAATTGCCGTGTTCCACGCAAATCTTCACCGAAGCGTATTACTTTATCTGCAAGATGACTATCACTATTTGCTAATTCTTGTATTTCTTCAATACTAAGCTGTATGCCATCTTGACACTGCTTTACATAGATTCTCCCTTCTTGCAATGCCTTTCATCTCATTTGTGAATTTAATGTGAAATAATGCCATCGAGGGTGACGTGCAAACCTTCCATCTTTGTATTTAAGTAAATGCTTGAAATATTCAGCTGGTTTGACGTCTTTTACATGCTCTGTGCGAAGGTCAGCATCGCCTGTTGGGTATAGGGTTGGAAAAGCACATGCAATATAACCTGGTGTGCTAAATTTATTAATAGGGTATTCATCTATCTTTGGCCACATGATTGGATCAGTTTCAATTTGCATTTGGATAAGCGTATCGCTAATAGCAAGTTCTTTGCTATAGGATGGAGTAGGGGTAGGAACGAAATTACGTGTAAATACATTCCCGGTATCATTATTTAGATGATCATATTCTATATTCAGAAACTCATTATCTTTAACCTGTATTTTATTTTCATTTTGAAGTTGTAAAAGCTGGTCATCAACAGGACCATCATCTGGTAACGAATGCAGCACAATATCATCAATGATGATATTTTTATAATAGCGATTATTGGTCTTTAGCCAGTAAAGTGCTTTTTCAACCTTAGCCTGGCAAACAGTAAAGTCTTTGAATGTTTGTTGACCTCTTGTAGACTGGTGGTGTACAATTAGCATTCCTAATGATTTTGGATGTCGAGGAAGTCGAGTTACAAATTCTTTTACATCCTGGGGAAAATTAATAACATTTTCTCAGTAACCATACTGTCCTCTACGTAGGTAATACACAGACACAACAGGGAACACTTGAGCTATTAACATTTCTTCGATTTCAGTGAGACACTTTAGCTCTTCAGGTACATCTCCAGGATCCATGTTGTTTTCAGCCAAGAATTTTTTTATATCACTCTTTTTAGAATAGCAGTGTCAGCATTCTCCCATAACGAGTGTAATTGAAGGGAAACATTCTTTGCATGTAGGACAAAAGTAATATGTCAAGTTATTTATTTCATTGCGAAATTTTTTTAAAAGCTTACGATCAGCTTCTAATAGCTGTTGAATGCTTAGTGTGTTTTCAGGAAGAACTTCTGAATTAGTTACAATTCTGTCCGCCAGTTCAATAGGTTCTAAAACATGTCGTCTTTTTTTTCACATATGTTCATGTGCTTTTGCTAGACGTTCACTGCACTCTTCAGCGGTTTCATGCTTTTTCTTTTCTTGGTGTTGAAGTCTATCACGTTCATGATATAAGCAACATTTATTAGAAGTTTCATTTTCTTTATCTTTACATTTTAGAGTTTGATTACTCATTTTTAAATTGTTACAGAATCTAGTAGGATAAGTATTTAGTAAATTAAAACAGAATGAAGTTGACAAATTATTTTAACTAACCACTAATTATGCAATTTTTATTAGGGATTGTACTTTGAGAAAATTCATACTCAGGTTACCGAACAAAATAGCACTCTAAATCTGAATTACACTCTAAAAATTATACCTTCTGCCCAAATCTCAAACCATTATAGTTTTGTTTGTTCGGGCATACATTCTTGACTAATATCTCAAAAAAAAAAACAACTTGATTGCTAATCTTAAACAAAAATTCATACTCAGGTTACTGAACAAAATAGCACTCTATATCTGAATTATACTTTAAAAATTATACCTTCCTGCCCAAATCTCAGACCATAAAAATTATACCTTCCCGCCCAAATCTCTGACCATTATAGTTTTGTTTGTTCAGGCATACATTCTTGACTAATATCTCAAAAAAAAAAAAACTTGATTGATAATCTTTACTTAAACAATTAGTATATTTTTTCATAGTTATATGAAATATATTTATATAACATTAATAATAGTTTTTTTTATTTAATTCCTTATAAATGGTATTGGCTTTTTTTTTGAATTATACAATTACACGTGAAAACTGTTTTAGTGCATTATTGTAAGCTATCTTTACTATAATATGCTGAAACTATGTATGCAAGAGCATGTTAATAGAAAATCTAGTTATTTGGCATACTACATAAGATAAAATTTATATTATCTTAAATTTATTTATTCATGTATATTTTTGGCACATCGGTTTTCTGTGCCAGGTTATGTCGATCATGTGGTCGAACTGCGAAGCAGATTTCAAGATCAGGTGTAACGTAACACAGATATGAAATTTCAAAACAACCATTCATTTTGTCAAAAATCACCTATTTCTCAAAAGTTTGCATAGAAAACTATCATTAGTGCACTAATAAAAAGTTTTTCTTAGATTATTTTACTATAACCTTTTAACTTTATTCAAAATGCTAGCTCTAACATTAATAAACTTCAGAAAATTTGCCTATGCCACAACCTGGCACAGAAAACTGATGTGCATATTTTTGGCATCGATAACTGGAATAGGTTCCTAATCGATAGTAAAAATTATGTGTACTATGTGTTTTCCTCTTATTTCATTAAATTCTTGGTATAAGATGTGATATCTTAGTTGTAAGTTAATTACTGTTTTATTATATATTTATTAATACGGGTATATGTTTAAAGCAACTTTAGCATTTAATGTTTTTTAGGATTATATTGTTCTACTGTTCTGCTGATTTATGACTATTTTTTTTATGTGACAATATAAAAAGGTTTAATAGAATCACTAACTTTTAAGAAGATACGCATTGATATATTTTTTTTATGTTAAATCTATATACGTGGGACATAGAGTTGTTTTCTATTATGTTGAATCCCACATATGTGTAACAGAGTCATTTGAGTCATTTTCTATAGACATTGTTACACCGATTGAAAATCATTATGGGAACTACTAGTTCTCAGTTTTGATTGGTGTTTTCAGACTAACATTGCATAGACGTGCATTCAAGTTTTATTAAACAAAGTGAATTCTCACTACACTTCGGACAATAAGTATACTATACCAAGCTATTTAGATTGGTAGTCTGGAATGAGACTGACAATTCTAAGTTGCAGCTAGTAAGAAATGATAAAGAAAATGGCAGAAAGATAGGTACTGGAGTTCTAGTAAACTTTATAAGAATAGAAATAGTATAATGTAATGGTTAAACAAATAACCTCTGTGATTACAAGTATTATATAACTATAGCGTATTGCATAAAACTAGGTCTATATATATAGGATATAAAGACTTTAGTAAATTTCTTATTGAGAATAAAGTAGTTCTAAAGATAACAATAAGTATTAAAAACTTGGATGGATGTAGTCTTGAGATGATTTTGTGATACAAGAAGAATTATATATACAGAGAGTTTAAATAAGCAAGACCTCTAATTGGCTTGTAGGTATGACAACTAGTGTAGAACTTATATAGCAATGTGTAAGCAGACTACTTAAATTAAACACTAAAAGTGCATGTATAATTAGTTGTAATCTCCAATATAAGGAAACCCTTGGAGGCACCTGTTTTCTAACAAAACTTGAATAAAATATCGCATTTCCAAGATAAGGACTTTAACTATAAAAAAAAATAAAATAAAATAAAATATTGATTTAAATAATCTTTTTATATAATAATTTTTATAAAGTATTTTTAAATATTTTTTTATTGAAATAATTTATTTTAAAATACTTTGATAAATATTAATAAAATTTGTAATAAGATATAATATTGTAATAATAGAAATAAGTTTTTTTTTTTAATATAATATCAAATAAAAAAATAATAATATATGAATATACTAATTAGATATAATATATAATTAAAGAATTATTTCTAAATTATATTATTATTGTATGTATATCTAACTACATCTGTGTGATATTATTTTCTTATATTCTGTTATTAGTTAAGTTAATTATTGTTATTAGTTAAGTTAACTATTGTTAATATTTAACTATGAAAAGAATAAAAAAAACTCTTGGAATTGTTGGTTTAATAAAAACAAGTATGTAAAGTTTTAAAAAAGAAGTTTAATAATAAAAGAATTCATATTAGTATTAAAGATAAAGGTAGTATTATTAGAGTTTGTTGGTTTTAAAATAGATAAATAGATGTTGTTTTTCTTTTTTGTTAAGACAATGATTTTTTATGCTAACTTTCACTCATATTATTTAAAATTTTGTATTTGTTAGATAGTAGAGTTGAACCAAATAAGTATTAAGTTTGATAATAAGATAAGAAAATTATTAGTTGATTTTTTTAGAATAAGTTGTAGTTGTTTATAATAATCTAAAGTTAATGTACTCTGAATAAATAATAATAGTAAGTTATTTGTATTAAGGTTTGAAAGAAGGTTATATGAATTTAGAATTTGTAGTATTGTGTATGATAATGTTTCTGATAAGTTTAGAGAGTTTAAAGTATTTGTTATTTTGTTGATAAGGATGCTATTTGGATTATATAAATGAAGAGAACATTTCAATAAGTGTTCAATATTTTTATATTGTTTACAAAATGAGCAGTTCAGAGTTAGATAAAAAATAGAATAGTAAGTATTTAAATTAGATATTGTTAGTAAATTATTAAGTAGTATTTTGTTTCTAAAAAAGTATAGATTTAGATTAGAGTTTTAAGAGTTAATAATCTCAATTAGTAGTTAAATATTTATGATAAAAAGGTTCCTTAATAATTTGAATTAAAGAAGTTTGTTAAATATTTGAATTAATAATAAATTTTTACAAAATTTATATAATTTGTATATACAGTATGTTGCAAAAATAACCAGAAAATTTTTATAATTTTAGATTTGCATAATCTAAATTTTTTAGTTTAGATTTTTAATTACTAGTTCTTATATAAAATTTTAAGACAAAAAATATATAATAAATTTTAAATAATTTTTATTTAATATTATATAATTAAATATTTGTTGAGTATTTGTTAAACTTAGTGTGACTAGTGTGGCTAGTATGGCTAATATGACTAATATAACTAAAAATGGCTAATATTTAATATAATTAATATAGCTAATATAACTAATATAGCTAAGATAATTAATATGAATAGTATAGTTAATAAATATATATTAAAGAATTTATATTAAAAAATTTTAATATATTAGAATATTATATAAATAAAAAATAAAATAAAAATTTTAAGCTAATTTTAGCTAGTCTAGTTAAAAAAAAATAACTAATATTAGCTTTTAATTTAAAAAAATAGTAAGCATATACTATATTTATTTTATTAATTTTTTTAATAAATAAATATCTAGTTATTATTATAAATTGTATAAATTTTATTTAATTTTAATGATACTGCTGTGTCACAGTTATTTGATTTCTAATTTTGATTATTTTTGCAACATACTGGAATTAAAATTTGATTTTAAATAAAAAATAAAGAAAAATAAAAGTAGTTAAAATTAAGTTTAAGCTTAGTTTTGTTTGCTTCATATTTAGCTAAAACATTAATTATATTATGTAGTATGTTATTTGAATGAGATTTAATCTTGTGTGTAATATAATTTATATTTTGATGTTTAGTTAAGAAGTTTAAAATATGAATAATATCCTAATAATTTTGTTTAGTTTATGAGTTGTAGTTGTAGAATATTGAGTATATAAGAGTTTGAATAGTAGATAAACTATCAAGATGAATATGAATTTAGTGTTTAGAGTATAAGACAAGAAATAAAGAAATAAGAGCTGCTAGTTCTGCTTTTATAAGTTTGATATATAGAATATAGATGCATTAAATTTGATTTGTGTATTATTTTCAAGTATCTAAGTAATATTAGTAGAAATATTATGTGTTTATAAATTTATTATTAAGGTATTATTATAGAAATAGAGATTGTTTAAATTAATTTGTAGTATTTTTTTGTGCAGATCTATAAGTTGATTTTGGTATATAGGATTAGATATTGTATTTTGAATTAAAGAATTTCTGAAAAAGGTAGCGAGAGTGT